TCTTATCTAATCCGATGGATTTGCGCAAAGGCGGAATTGCGCAAATGCGCACCAATCCAAACTGCTGCCCTTTCTAAATGCATTGCATAAGAGCAGAACATTGTGAACGTTGACGTGTGTTCTGTTCTCGATAATTACTCCCTATCCTGGAAATTGAGAAGAGCGTCGAGTGCAGATCAACACGACAAGTTACGACGGCCAAGAAGAACGAAAAGAAAACCACGTTCTCTTGGCCGTCGTCGCTTGTGGTGTGTGGCTGCACTTTCCTGTCTTCCAAGTATAGGGTAAGCTTGCGAATGTGGGACTCGGTTTAAATGGTCTTTATTACCCGCGTTTAGACTCGTTCATTGGTGCGTATTCGGTGAGCGTGGTTATGACAGCCGGGCAATGTGCCTCGGGGGGGGGGGGGGCAGTCGCCGCCGCGCGGCGCGTGCGGCAACAGGAAATTCGTGAGCCAGGGGGAATGTAGCCAATTCAGGGGGTCGGGGGTGAGGGCAGTCACTTAACATGCGTGAGAAGCTGGAATGTTCGAGTTACACTACTCGCTGAGCCGCGCGCGGCGACTGCCCCTCCCCCAAGCTACATTGCGCCTGACAACCCTAGCATGGTTCAGGCGAACAAGTTTCCGAGACAACTGTCTGAAAGCAACATAGCACTAATGCCTGCACAGTATCTTGTCATTGCGCGCTCTATGGCGAAGCGGAACGTATGCGTCGCGTGTGAGAGGAGGAGTGGGGCGAAATCGCAAATCGGTTAGTTGCTGCTTCATTATATATTCGCGCTATTTATTCGGCGATCACGTTTTTGGATTTTATATTCAACTTTTCCAACTCTTAATCTTCTTTTCGTTCAAGTTCGCTCATAGGAGATTCCATGAGTCATACGGTCGAAACGGTCGCACGGCGTTAGATGTGTAGCGGTTGTCTAACGTCCGAGACATTCAATCACTGCAATCGTAGCGATCCAAACGCTACGTTCGGACGATCGACGTCTCATAACACTACTCCATAACCCGAACATAGTCTTCGAAAAACTACAACGCGAAGGCACGTGTCGCAGTCGGCATTAGGCCGGAGTGATCATTTTGTACTCCTACTGACTAGTATAGGGCGCCATTCGTTGCGGGACCCACTGCCTTAACCCGCGGGGATCCCATGTGATCGCGGTTGAATTCGAACATTCCAGCTTCTCACGCATGTCAAGTGTCTGCCCTCACCCCCCACCCCCCCTAGACTGGCGACACTGCCCCTGGCTCACGGATTCCCCGCTCCACATTGAAGGGTTCACTGTAGCAGGAGGCAGTGGGACCCGTAACGAATGGCGTCCTTTACTAGTCAGAAGGAGTACAAAACGATGCGTTCGTTAGGGGCGAATGTCGTATAGCTATATCGAAGTTGATTGCGCTAGCGAATCGCTGAATCTTGAGCGTTTGCGGCGGCCGCGAATCGACAAATTGCAGCGACTAGCGACTCAAAACCATTTGAAAGTGGGGGATCCTTCGCCTTTAGGCATTAGGGCCCCGCCACTTTCAAACAGTGTGGTCCTTCGAAGTGGACTTCCTTTAAACGTTGGGTCTTCCCACTCAAACAATGTTGAGTAGCTGGTACATCGTTCGACCCGCTGGTACATAGTTCGAATCGCTGGTGCAACGTTCGATCCTGGCGCAACGCTCGGATCGAGCGATTCGCTAGCGAATCGCTCGATTCGCAAACTATGACATCGGCCATATGTCGCTTGATTCTTTCCATCATTCCGGTTCCTTCCCCAAGTTTGGGGATGTGGTTCACTAGGATAGAGAGCGAATTTTTCGCGGTTCGCAGTGCGAAACATTTTTCGCTGCAGTAATCTCAGGCACCGCTGATCATGAGTGAAACTGGCGTCCCTGCAGCGAAAAATATTTCGCGCGCGAAACGCAAATAAGTCGCTTCATGTCCTAGTGTCACGGCGGTCTGAACCCCAAGTTTGGCGGTACATCCCCAAACTTGGGGACGTATCCCCAACGTTGAGGACATAGCTGTAATTGTTGAGTAGTACCTTCTCTTGTATACTCCTGAAAATTGAAATCGTGATGGTGTTTGAATGTTATTTGTTTCCTACAGTGACCTGTGAGGGCCTTCCATTGCTTAGGCCAGGTTCCTATCCTCTCAGACAAATTTGGTTCTAGTCACCCGACAACGGAACGATGGAAGACTTGAGGCTTGAGCGACGTACGATCTAAGTGTTGATCTGTAGACCACGCGCGTCGTAAGAAGAGAGCCAAGCCACTACACCACTTCCTCTCTGAAGTGTAATTACTGCACTTTCTAATAAATGTGGTAACCTAAATGTAATCGCTCCTCGGCATCGGGTGAATTCTTGCTTTAGATATTTGGATAAGGCGTCTATCTAGATAAGGCTAAGGTCAGACTTTGCGATCACTCGCCAGCAAATCGCGCGGTTGGCTTACTAACTTTGGTGCAATAGTTCCTGCAGCCTACAGCAATCAGAGCTGTTGCTTGGAATGGAATAAAAATTGATCAATTTTGCTTTTGCATCACACCGATTCCGTCGCTTCTTTCTTTTTACAAAAATGAATCCACTGAAGGTCAGTAGTATTGTACCAAATGTCCCCACCCACGCCCATTCTAATAGACTATATCTGATCCTACTTGCGAGCTGAGTGTTGTTTAAAGTTGCAAAAGCTCTGCTGACAGCGATTAACAATGATTCAAACCCTCAAAAGGTTGTACGGATACATAAGCATGTTACAACACTTTAGAGCCTCTAAATCTAGGGTTTATTTTCGAACTGATCTCAGTATCGTCTCCTTCTTCTGTGCAGTCTTTGTGCTGTATTTTCGTTGTCATTTGCTGTATTTTCGTTGTCATTTTTTGCTAATTTTGCAATCTCTGCTGTTTCAGGTTTCTAGCGCAGTAAGCAATGCAAAATGGCAGACAACTGTATGCAACATGTAAAGGTCAGTTTCCTTTTTTTTGGGGCTCTCTGGAAGCAGGCTCATAATAAGATTGTGGCAGTGTGATGAGATTGAAGGACCTTTCTCATTCCCTCTGACATATTCCATTTCATCTAGAAACCACGCGGCTTATATTTTCGACGTCTTGCAGTCCATCCGTGAATTATTGATCACGCATGTGATCTGTTCCTATCACAAGATCGCATAATTGCAAACTTACGATAAGACGGCTGCCTAAGTGTTGTCATACTAACCGCAGGGAGTTTGAGGGGGATACTGGGCTCAAGAAAGTGTGATCCACATCGATTGACCTGGGGTGCCATTTGAGGAGAAATTGTTCTTAAAAAATGCGATTGCTGTGGAGTCAAAAATTGTATGGCTGTTGTGGCATGGGAGCGGTTGCTGTCATTATCCTCCAGTACGGTGCAGAAGGTGGCTCGAAGCCTCGGTGGCTTTTCTTAGGCACACGTTATCCCACTGGTTCTTCCTAGGACTATGCAGTTCCTCTCATGCATGATCTCCTTTTTTAACCGCTTCCTAACCCTGGACTGAGGCTTTTTGGGTTGCAGTAAGCGGCAACCGCGGGGCAAGACCTATAAGGAAGGCATATTGCTGCTGACGAAAGCTGAATTATACAAACGAAAGAGTTCTCATATTCGGCAGTTTTCCTTTTCAGGCGGAAGATGAGCCACAGGTTTTGATCGTGGACATCCCAAAGGCTGCTCGAAAAAGAAAACCACCTCGGACACAGGCAAGAATTCTTCTGTGTCGCTTCTGTGGACACTGGATGCAACAGAGTACTCTACTTGTTCATTTGCCAGCAGTTCATGGTACAGAAGGCAGTAAAGAAGCTGAACGGATGCTGTTAGCGAAAAAGAATAAAGTACGATGTGATGTGGAAGGATGTGATTATACTACGCATAGCGAGCGTGACTACAGGGTGCATATGCGGGAAACACATCTTATGATAATTGAAAAGCAAAATCGTCGCCTGAAATGTCTTTCTTGCGAGAAGCTGCTCAACAGTCAAGAGGAACTTGTCTACCACTGTCGCACTGTTCACGGAGACGAAGATTGTACAATACAGACGTGTACTTTCCGAAGTAAAGAAGAGTGTGAGGTGAGCTGACCTGTTTGAAATTAGCAACCTAGTTTTTTTGATGTTTTCTTAATTAGATTTACTCTAAAGTAATTCTCGTAGTGCAAAGGTGCGAGTTTCAATGGGTGACCGACTGTTTTACCGGGGCAAAACAGTGGCATGTGACCAAGTTCGATTTACGATCCCTTTACTTCACCCTCCCGTTGGCTCTTCAACGTCTCACCTCCATCTCCTCCCCCCCCCCTCCTCAAAAAATCCATACGTGCACATGCCGAAATTTGCTAGGTTTTTTTTTGATTCAGAAAACGGAACTGCTACATCACTCTGCCAAATACGATCCCCATAATCGCAGATTACGACCCCTCAGTCCGACTCGTCCAAATGACTCCACGCCCTTGTGGAATAATTTTTGCTCACTCTTATGATTATAGTTTTTGGAGGCTTCCCTCTCTGTAGGCACTGCCAGAACCTCTGTAGGTCGTGCTAGCAAAGGCGCGAAATTGGCTGTTTTCGTAGGTGTCGTGTCAAGTGTCCCAAAGCGAGCAATTGTACATCATCACCGGCTCTGGGCAGTAAATTGGATAAATTGGTTTCCACTTTGGCACTCAGCCGCGTTCTTTCCTCGGGCCATCGTACTACTCACTAGCTCCTTGAAGCACTGACTCTTCCAGAATCAGGCATTAACTCAGTTTGTTTTGGCGCCCCCCCCCAAAAAAATTATGGTCTTATAGGTGCATTCGCGTTCGGCAAGCATTCCTTAAGAAATGGTTATGGGCAAAATTTTTTAGCCCGTAAACTGTTGGAATCGAACCGCACACCTTGCTCCGTGGGCAGTTTTGCTGCCGATTACACCCCCTGCGCCGCATAGCCTCAGTCCAGCTTTTTATGGCATTTGCAACAACATTCATACGTTTAGCGTGATGAATCGATTAGCCGACATAGGCAGTGACGCACCGAGCATGGGTGAAGCCTTATCAATGTTAATTTCGATATCAAAATCATGAGTTTTCGTCTTATTCTATTGGTATTTGATGAGCTATATTTTCACAGATGTGGAAAGATTTCATCGCAAGAACTCACTGTACTGCTTGGCAAATCAGCGGCAAATCACATAGATCACAAGTAAATAACGATCATATCGTTTACTACCGATGTAGCAGGTCTTGTACACCTTTTCTTCGAATATTCTCTTGATTTTTATTTCCCTGTTTCACGAGAGACTTGCGGTTGAAGTAACGCATAGAAAATAACAACTAACTTTTTCTAGGGTCCCCAGCAAACAGCATCGTACTCGGTCGGAAGGTAACAAAACGCAGACAACGTCGACTGTCCACTATTGCACTTCATTTTTGAAGGTGACTAGCAACTTTTCATCCTTATAAGCATTATTAACACATCTTCGATTTTCAGGAAATTCACTCGCATAATGGCTTAATCACTGTGCGATACTGCTTAAAGCACGTCAATCACGATTTTAGCCATGCACGTTTACCTCTTTCAAATGCTGACAAAGCTGTGATTGCGCAGTATTCCCAACAAACTCACGATGCAGAAGTAATCCAGAATATGATTCGGCAAGCTTATACAGACCCGGAGACCAAGCTCCATTGGGTCTCCACTAGTGAAATCAAAAGGGTGCTGACGAGTCTAGTGAGAAGGTTAGTTGTTACAACATTGAAATCATGTTTAAAAATTCGGTTCCGCTAAAGGAAATGGAAAACAATGAGTTGTTGATGACGCACTTGTAGCGCACTTGGTCTCAAAGCGTAAGAGCGACCACGTGCAGTATAGTTCACGTGAATATTTGCAATTATGTAGCTGCTCCATGCTAGTACGTACGCTTGTGTGTTTTCCGTTTGTCAGAGATGGAACTGGATTTTTCTCTGATTTCTCCGCTTCTTTATATAAAAGATCACAATTTAGTGTTAGAGAAGAGGCTCGTGATTCGATGAACGTTGACTTCGACGACGGTCCTGTCTTCGCTTCGGCTCTGCTGCAGTCGCCTCCCGACAAGGATGACGATTCGGATTGTTGTATCATAAGCGACGACGCGGTAAGCGTCCAATCTCCGGATCCTGGAATTCAAGCTGAATCGCTGCTTGGATGCTCGTCTTGTGCGAAACTAAGTGAAAGGGTGGGTCGAAATCTGAAGAGTCATTACGCTGCAATTGATTGAAGGTTTCCAGGTAGCCGAGCTTGAGGCAATTGTGAAGAGGCTAAATAGCAGAGTAATAGAGCTAGAAGACGCCCAATTATTCAGTGGCGTAGTGAAAACGGAAACGGATAGCTCTCAAGCAGATGACACTGGGATGAAGCAAGAACAAAGCTGAGTAGATATCCATCCGAAACTGCGTAGGTTTCAACGTGGGGAACAGTAATCTCTAAATTTGTAAATATTTTCTTGCTGAACGACCATCTTCCATGTGACTTACATTATGCTGTGATGCTAGTGCTAGCGCTTAGTTATGTGATATATTTTGTATTCGTATGTACAGGATCCTCTCTAAAATTCACTGCACAGTCAAAGTGATCCGCTTTCTCAATATTCTTTTTACTGTAGATTTCGTTTTTATCTCTTCACGCGCTTTTATAACAACTTCTGGGTGAGAATGGACTTGGGGAGAGCCATTTGATTCTGCTTTGGACTCTAACGATAGGATCAAGATAAGGCTAAGGATATCTCTAGCGGTATGCATGAGAACTTTGATAACACGCTCATTCAAAGTATCTTATTGATAGGAAATGCTTCATATCGTCGACATCCAATCCATTTTTCTGCACTTTTTCAGGGTCCTCCCTGTGAAACTCCTAGACGCACCCTTCCCTTCATTCCCTGGTCCTAGCGCCTGAAATGGGCAGAGTAACCTCTTGGCTAAGGACGCTACTCTGCCCATTTCAGGCGATTCAGCCGTTTTCGTCCAAAAGCTTTCTCGAATGAAAGTGCTATCAAAGCTCTTTCCCTTAGCGATATCAAAGTTTTGATCATGATCTTATGTCGGTAAATTTGCAAGGTGGGATAGAGTGGCCCCCTCCAACTCCATTTTCACCCGATTTCTGATTTGTGAAATCTACGGGTTTGTAAAAAAAGGCACGCTACTCGGAATTCTTATCCACTCTGGATACTCGCAGTCTTGATGTGGCTAAATACTTGCAAATGTTTTGGTCTAATTTAGCGACCGCTCACTTTGTTTTTCAGATGAGGCGTAGTGGACTGTTTTGCTCATATTCTGAGGTAGCAAGGGGTAAAATAATAGTGCATTCCCATCCATGTTATGGTTTATCAATGTTATAATTGTATTACTTCTAGTTGTACACTTATGCAATGTTCCTTGGTTAAGTAAAGAATTTAACAGCTTTATCGTGTTACATGGAAATTGTGGCGTTATGGCGTCACAAAGTATTGTGTTACTTTTTAACCATTTTAACAGATTTTGTTTGTTAATTGCTGTTTTATGCCGCACTTGCGTGCGAATGCTTTGCCAAGATATGCCTGGGCTCATGAAACAAATCTTTGCTCCACGCGGGACTCGAACCGCCACCTCTTGTTTAACCTGAAACTGTGTAAATGTACCGTGCAGAGCTGAGGGAAGTCCAAAACGGGGCACAGTTTAGACTTCAATCGGCTTTGCATGGTACATTTACCATGGCTTATCAGCACTCACACGTTTTGTTCATAACCGAGCTCTTTTTGTTACCCATTTTTCTGGTGTGTGGATGTGCCAGATGACGTCCTCCATCTGTCATTAGTGGATGTGACAGGGCAACGACGACCCAATAATTATGTGATTTACCGTATGCGGCACAATTCTTCGGTAGTCGTAGTACAAATTAGGGGTGAAAATGAGGGAACGCGCTAAAACAGGTGAAAGCTTTCACTAATCAGAGAAGATGGGTAGGTTAGACCAAGCTATTGAGAAATTCTCCGGGTAGTATGATCTCACGCAGGGGTCTGTTTGTCTCTAATCTCATTCCTTCTTCCTACCAAGTACTTATTCCTTCGAAGTTACTTTCAGCTCCGTTGAGCGGAAAGCAGTCGAAACTGTAGGAACTCCATGGATTAAGCCAATCGGATTCGATGAGATCCTCTTTGTGATGCGCCTGGCATCCTCTTTCATACAGAAATCGAAGCGGCATTCTGAATGCTGCTGCCTATGTGATGACTACACCTTCGATTTGTTTTTGATAAGAGTTTTTGTCTTATCAAACAAGTCTGGTACCAATTATCGACACTGGTATGTAAGGTCTGAACCAGACACCGGGTTGCCTCCCATTGATATGGGGGTGGGCCAAGAACCCGAGAAATGGGACCCTTTCCTTGCCTTTTGATTCCGATGCGACTCTTATCGGTGTTGCCCTCTTCAAGCTAATGCTCTCTCTGCTATCTAATCACTCGCCGCGCTAGAGGCCTGCGGCGAGTGATTAGATAGTCGGTGGGCGTTCCGGGCCAATTGCGCCAAGGGAAGGCCATGCTAGATCGCCGGGGCATATCCTTCGATGCGAATTGCGTGTTGGTCCGCACCCTTAGGGGTCCGCCTGTCTTTCCGCCCTTCTTTCCACTAGGTAGGTTCCACGTCTTCCACCTTCGTTGTTATCGTGTAATCCTCCTTTGAAAGGCACGAGTCGGGATTGAATTGATGCGTTATTTTGTTCGAAAATTAGGCAAGGAGTGCAATGAGGAACATTAGTGAGGAGAAAAAGCAAAAAGCACCATAGAAAACACTAAATTTCCCTTAGAGGCCGGCCGTGGTATGAGCTCTGCGAGGAGAGGGAGAACGCGAGATAGTACGTCGTACGCGAGAGGGCGCAGAGACCACGTATGCCGTGGTTGATAAGGATGGCAGCACGGCAGCACACAAGGCAAGGCCTTAGCGCCGTTGCCTCGCACTTTTGAGTCGCGACAGTGTCGCGCCTCCTGCGCTTGAGACCCCTCTTTTCACCTAGGAAGAACTTGCTCTTGAACCTATCCCCTACTCGTGGCTTTGGACATAAACGAGTATGTGATCAAGAGCCTAAATCTGACCATAATCTTAGGCTTCAGTCATCGTACAGCTCCGGTAACCTGACCTAGGAGGGAGAACTGAATATCTCCCTCCGAAAAGATGGCAGGCTTAGTGGGCCTAGACGGGGCACGATTCCAGGATTGATTCCCTGACCAAGCACGTGGTGAGCACTTTGGTTAGTGTTCCATTGAGAGCCAACCAGCTGGCTCCATTTGACCACAGCTTTAACGCAGATAGGGAGATGAACGTACTCTTTGCGTCTTGGAAAGGCTGGATCTGTCCAATGTTGATCTCTTCTTATTTTACCCATTATCTAATGAGAAAACCATCGCGGAGGAACGTGCGTGTTTTAAAATGGTGTAGATGACACCCAATGTAAGCCGGACGAGACATCTGAAGCTTTAGTAAGCACTGAGCCAAGTGTTCTCCACATGGTACAAGCTGTTCGACGGAAGGCCTCGGAGCAGAGCTATTTACCATATGGTGCGGTGCTAATATGCCAATCTGAAAACCATGTGGGGAAATGTGCCTCCAGGGAGGGGGGCAGTCTGTAGGCAGGCCACTAGGAGTAAGCCTAAGGGAGAGGGACGGACTAAGGAAGGGATTAGAATTGCTTACACACCTCAGGGTGCCTCTCCTACTGCAAGGTTTAGCCCTAAAACTGAGCTTTCCATGACTCTAACGCAACGTTACGAGCTGTCCTTCATCCTCCCGCCCGCCCCTTCCCCTGAGTGGGTTTCATTAGCCCCAGGCTGCACTTATATC